GGGGGGGGGGGTGAGCATATATATATGTATATATATATATGTTTATACATATGTATTTGTATTATATATATATATAGAGAGAGAGAGAGATAGAGAAAGCGTGTATATATAAAACATATCTATAGACATGCGGAAATGCAGCAAGAATACAAATTTCAAGTACATGGTGTCCCATGTGGACAGTATCCGAGCTCAGAACATTCTGCGGCATTGCGGCTCCTGACGCACACAGTAGTTAGCTTACAGATCCCCAATGTCCACAGGTGAGGCTCTCCGGTGTGCGAGCTGCAACAGGTCTACAATCATATGGGTACTTGTAGATGTTCGTGCGGACACGATCCCGCCTGCGTCATCGTTCAGAAGATAGCAGAAGACGCGCAGCCCCTGCAATCTCCAGTCATGAAGCTGCTGTGCATAGCCTGGCAAGCTCGGAAAACTTGATTTTAACCTCCTGTTGTTGCTTTCTGCTGAAAGTGAATCTGCCTGTGGTTAGACAAAGGCGAGGCACGAGAAAGCTCCTCATCCGTATAGCGGTACTGATGCGCATCCTCAGCCACCCACCAACATCCTACAAGTAGCAAAGCAGTTGACGGCTTTGTCAGCATAGAGGACCCTATGTCATACCTATGTTTTAGAAGGCATCCACTGAGGATGTGAGGTAGGTGTACACTGGAAAGCAGGACTGCAAGTGCTGCGGAAGCGACATTGTTTCCATGCAGCCGCACGTACACGAAGTCGGCGGTGCGAGATGCCTACCAAACCAAGGTTCGGTTTCAGCTTTCGGCTAAAGCTGAACAAGAAGCACTGGGAGAGTCTCGCTCCAATGCTGAAGCTGCAGGCATGGCCATTGCAAGCTGCACAGGATGTAGCAACTGAGATTGCAAATTTGCAACAACTTGTAGTTACACAAAAAGGAAGCTATGCGTCTGAGAGGAAAAGATTAGCGCATGCCCACAGAAGCACGCTACCGCTCTCAAACCCAAATCCAAGCCCTTGTCCGACATACAAGGGCGACACCTGGAGGGGTTCCAGCGCATAGGTCTCGTACTGCGCTGTATCTGCGGAAGTCGCTCTTCCCAGAGCATTGGGGTGTTGAACCAGAGCCTGGGAAGTTGTGGATTGCCAAGATTGCTGTTGCTCCAGTCCAGGTGATGTCGGGACGAAAGGTTGAATTGTTCGGCAGTTGCATGGTAGTTTCTTGCAAGACTTGAAGACTGGGCTGCATACTTCAGAGTTGTTCAGCCTTCGGCCCTTGCAGTTTCCGCACGCTCTAAACTTGGCTCTGGAAGTGCGAAGTGCATCAAAGCGTCCCAGTTCTTCGACCTCAGGAAGCCCAATGCCTCCGCATCCTCGAACCAAGACGCGTGCCTGAACTCGAAAGCCACCTTGTTTGTCAAGGCGATCCCACGAACCCGCACTGAAGGCATGGTATTGTAGGCCAGATTTTGACGATTGCCGAAAAAAACAAGTGCCTGCACATCACGCGGCCGTACTGCCGAGATGCCGAGTGACGTCCTTGAGGCGTGCCTCCTCAGGCAAAGCTGCCAGGGCTGTGTCCACCTGCTGCAGGATCTTCACATCGGCCTCCCGCAGCTTTAGGCGTGCCTGCTCCCTGAAAGTCACCGATAAACAGAAGTTCAAAATGTATGTCGCATTTGGCAGAAAGGGGTGTTTATCTTACACCAGAGGGGCGACACAACAGGACTTCTCTCTTTGCTTGAAGCTCGCCTTCAGGCTCCTCGGGCACTGGAACAAGACCGGGCCGAGATGTCTCCCAAGCCTCATATTTAAAATCGCACGGAAAACGGCTTGCAAGGACAGATCTCGGTCCGGGATTCTCGAGACCCATGTTCCCTGAGACCAATTTTGTTCGAGCTCTGCGTCCCGGTGACCCAGCCACGCGCTGGGCAAAGTGACGCAGAGACTCCAGAGCAGCGGGGGCTGCTGGCGATCCCGCATCGTGCGTTACAGTCTTCGGGACCTCGATTGGAACACTCAGTGCACTTGCTGCCCGATCCAAGACTGACAGAATGAAATCCGAATGAAAGCGGAGAAGCCTTGGCCTTTCTAAGCCTCTGCTTGAGCAACTTACAGCTGGCCATCGCAGTGATTAAACCTCGGATTCACTTCCAAGGGCCTTGAGACCCATCAGGAAACCTTCCGCACATCTCCGGCGCCAGCACGTGATTGTGTCAGTCGATGGGACACCTGCAGTGCAGGACCACAGTAGGGTGCGCTGCAGCAATTGAGAAGGGGCCCGTCCTCTAAAAACGGGAAGGAATACAAAGCTTGACTGTGCCAAGACACCGTAAAAGCTTGAGTTGACCTCCACCGCCCAGAAAGTCTCCTGATAGCACTCCTCGGTGCCAGCATCAGGCGTCCGTCACGCACATTTTACTTGCGGGAGCCTCGTTTGATACGTGCGGCCCTCCTGCAGTCTGACTGGCTGCTTTGCAGACCCAGCTGCAAGTTGGTCTTCACCTTTCTTTGCGTTGCCTGCAAGACGGTCTCAGGGGTCATCAATTTGTGGATGTTAGGTGTGGTGGTGGTCGTGGCAGCGGTGGTGATGCTGATGCTGACAGTGATGACCTCGATTAAAACCGACGCTGAAGAATGACACGAACGTGGGCAGAAATCATGACCATCGTGATGACAGCACACAAGACGTGATGACAAGGCGGAACTGCAGGACCAAAACACAGCGACAGCAGAAAGGCGAATCAGAACAGAATCCAGGAGTTGTCGACCTAGGCCTTGAGAAACCCGCTCCAGGAAAGCCGCTGCCCCCACGTTTTCTGCTGGCCCTGCCTGGATAGAAGCATCCAGCCCAATGAGCACTGGAAAAGCCGGCTGTCCCCACATAGAGACTACCCAGCGTCGGTGACGCCATGAAAGGAGAGCCAATGTTTGTGCAGGACAAGAGGGGATTTCTGGGGTTCGGTGCTGTGCCTGTCAGATTCGAGCCTCAGGGCTGCAGAGGTTGCAGCCGGCTACCCAAAGACACGGTCAGTGCTGTGAGATGCCGAGTATCCAAGCTGCGACATGCAGGGTGGATGGAGAGGGGCAATGGCCTGTCTTTCGTTCGCGGATGCGACTTCAGCCTGCCAAGACTTGCAAGACCATTACCATGTCTTGAATCCAGGGTCAAAGGCCAATCTAAGGGAATTGAACGAACGATAACGAACGCAGCAGCCTTCAACGTTTCGGCTGCAAGCCCTTCAGGCACGGACAAGGGGAGTTCGAAGCAACGGGGCGAGCTGTAAAAGAGGGACGGAGCCGACAGATCCCACAGAGGTCACACAGAGTTCACATGAAGACCTGGAGCAGTTGACACAAGACTTCAGGCCCCGCTAGGATCCGCTAGGATTGTAACCTGAAGCGGCTTCGACTCCTCCTGGTCCTCAAAGGCTCCGACCTAGGCTGCGGTAGGCTGTGGGTTCGAAGACAGTCCAGCGTGGCTAGTTCAGATCACTTTCTGCAGGATGCATGAGTTTGGCTTGCCAGTGAGGACTGCCGAGAGATTGAGTTCATATCCAGAGGCAGTCGTCCACGTGCTCAGAAGGAGAGCAAAGGTTCGGAGCCCACAGCCTACCGCTGCCTTTCCGCATGCCTCCCCGATTGCCCAAATCTCGGCTCCCGACTCCTGGCCCGGTGAGGAGCCCTTCCTCATGCCTCGGACTGGAGTTCAGAAATCTCAGGGCAAGTCTAACACGCATTCCCACGACACCGAGAGCTGAAATCTGAGCGTCTGAGGCTCAGGCCCTTCTTCCGCGCCCTGAGCTAAGGAGGCCTTGCGATGCCAGTTGGGTCAAATCTTCGTCGACCTATCACCAACTCATGATGCTCGGCGACAATCACGACCAGACCATGCGTGCCTCGCTCGCCTCTGCTGCCGGCATGCGGAACGGACAGTCTCAGCGAATTTATTCAAGTGCTTCACATGACACCTAACATCGGCAAGGCTCTTCGTGGAGAAGTGAGGATCCGCAACACCGGCAGCTACATTAACCCGGAAACTCTGCAAGTGGCTCGCTCTGCATAGTCAGGTTGCGGCGAAGTTGGTTAGTTAGGTTCATTTCCATGTCGTCTTGAGTTGCGGGGCATTGTCGATGGATGCATGGATGCAGGAGGCTGCCAGGTTTGGAGCCACATCGGCACGGCAGTTCGCACACTGTGCCAAAAGCACGGCCAGGACTTGTCAGAACCCCTAAACCCTAAACCCCCTCCCGGTCCGTGAGCCGCGTCTGCCCCAAGTTCACGGACTGCCGGTAGACGTGAATGGGATGCTGCCGAGGCTGAAGGCTCCTGTGTATGCCGTCTGTCGAGAAGTGGTGGTTAAGTGACTAGTGGCTCAGGGGCACGTTTTTGTGGCAGAGCTTGCTGAAGACTGCGAACAGGCTTGCACTTGCTTTTGAAGTTGACGCTGCAACTTTCATAAAGCTGCCCAGCACAAAAGAACTGCTCCTGCACACGCCGCATTGCTCCGGATCTGCTTGCCGGTAAAACCCCCTGGTCAGCAGCCCACGTTCACGAGAAGCAGGCACTGTGACACTGCAAAATGTTGGGTCCGAAGGCGGTATCAATTGAGGCCACTGCCATTCCTGTCCATAGATCTCAATGGTGGCATGAAATGCACCGAAGGTCTTCACCTAAGAACTACACTCACGAGTAGAAGCTGACATGCCCGTATGAAGCCAACATGTGGCCCCGGAAACTGGGAAATGTAAATCTGTGGAACTTCGCTGGCCAGAAAGCTGTCTGTATCCCGTTCTGCATTGATTCTGCATCATAGTCTTAACGACATCGTGTGCAAGTTCCATCGAACACCGACGTCCACAAGAAGTCGGCTGTTGGGAGCAGCCTTCCTTTTGGGGAGAGGATGCATCTCGTGATTGCGGACAAAGGCTGCATCTTTTTCAGCTCCTAAAACCTCCGTCTCAAGTCTAGTAGCAGGAAGATCTCTTAAGCGGCATGCTGGATCCCTGCAGGGATGCCACCGAACTGCCGAAAAGTCGTCATCGCGCGTTTCAAACAAAGGCTCATACACATCCCAGCTGCATACCGAAGGGTTCAATTAAGACCCGCTCATCTGGTGATCCGTGCGATGGATGTTGCTCGTACGCGTCGCAGGAGATGCCTTCTTTAGGTGTGCAAAAGAAATGTGCTTCCTTGGTTGGACGCCTGTGGCTTGCAGCAATCAATTTTGCACCTCGGCTGCCTGCCGCAACCTAGCCTAGCATATTCTGAATTGCGTGTCGTTCACATCGTCACATGGCTGGCGTCCTGTTTGAAGCGACATCTTCACCTTGCCCCCGGAGTTTTAGACTCCAGCTGACCAGTTCGCAAGCCAACAAAAACTTTCGGCAAACACAAAGCCATGTGCATACATGTTTCAGTCCAGAACCATGGTGTTGCAAAGGAAGGAGTTCACGACAGACCTGAGAAAACTGCCAATGTCACGCCGAATATCAGCGACTGCATCCTGGCACTGCCCTGCGGAGAACGACCAAGACCGGGAGGCCGGCGTGACAGGAGCCAAGTCATACCTTATTAAATCCGCAGTTGTAAGCTCAACTGACCGACCTCCGGTTCGGCATACGTCTCAATCTGAATGCCGCAGCCTGGTAGGCCCTTATCCCACAAGGGGTTGCAGTTGGGGCTCAGGCACGTTCAGGAAAACGGTACATGCAGGTGCAGACTCCACCTGGCAGCGGGCGGAAACAACTACCAGAATGCCCCCTTGGCGAAGAACACCGCAGCATCTTTCCGGCTGCCCTGTGCAGACTCTTACAGACAGAGAGAGAGAGAGAGAGAGAGAGAGAGAGAGAGAGAGAGAGATGCAGAGAGGTGCAGACGCTCTGAGAGAGACAGCGAGAGAGAGAGAGAGAGAGAGAGAGAGAGACAGAGAATACACAGAGAGAGAGAGAGAGAGAGAGAGCCAGCTCGCCTCGGATGCAAAAGACAGCCAGGTGGCGAGAGTAGAGGCTTCCATGGGCCCCTGCAACTGCGCAAAGCGTCGCTGCCTGGCCTTGCCTCCCCGATTCCATGGGCCCCTTCGCCTGCACTGACTGCGTCTGCTGCCTCTGGTCTGTCGGCACGTCTTTGGCCCCATGGCCCAGGCTGGTTCCTGCATAGGATTCCGGTTTGTGGGAGGAGCTTCCCACTACATGGCCAAAGCTGACGCATCTCAATCTGATGCCTGGAGGCATGCCAGGACACAGCAGGCGGGGCTGCCGAAATGTGAGCTGCAGCTGGACCTGCTGCGGACGCAGCAGGTCGGCTCTAAAGTCTCTAAAGGGCAGCTGATGAGTGCGTCGAATCTGCATTGCTCTTAATCTCCTCTTCTTGAAACGAGCCAAGGCGGCAGAGTGCCCAATGGCTCCGATGAAGTGGCGCTGCCCCAGCTCGAGCCAGCTCTCCTGCTTCAGTGTCGACTTACATTGTGAGAAAAGTGTATACTAGAATCTGCTAACACATAACATCATGCAACACTCATGAAACATGCTAGTTAAGTAGGCAATATAAAGTTGAGGCTCATCACCAGAACGAACGAGAGATTTCTCAACTTCTCCTCAGAGAGCTGTGTGCACAATGGCTACCGAAGGCCTGTCACCTCGGAATCCTAAGGAGGGGACTGCGCCCGACGCGTCGGTGTCATATGGGCCTTACGGCTTACCAGCCTCGTTCACCGGGTCCCAGTCCAGGCAGTGGAGCTGCAGCCTCGCAAGGTCTGTGTGAACCATGGCTTCACATCCCTAACCCCCCACCCCCACCCCCCCGCACTCCCCCATGCGACGGCATTCCTCTACCCTCCTACACGAGATGAAGACCTGATCTGATGGAGCATCGCGCACGGATTGCTCCGTTGTTTCGTGGGCATGTTCTGGCCACGATCCTCACAAAAGCCATCATCGCCCTACATCGCAATTTCAAGAGTGCAGTAACTAGCACAGAGATCGGGTGTGTCGATCCTCGTGACAATTGCTGTTGAATCCTAGCATTCTTGTCACGTGGGGCAGATCGAGGTCAGTGAAACATGTCGACAGACACAGGGATTGGCATCGAGCGGCCTTTGGGGTTCGAGGGCAGCTGGTGCAAGGTTTCGGAGGCTTTTCAGAGCTGTCGGATCAGTGGCATGCGAGACTAGGCCAGCAGCCAGTCACTGTTGTTTGAGTTGTCCACCTGGCCACCACAGAGCGCATGACACCGTACCGGCAGGAGCAAATCTGCAATCCAGCCAAGAACAACAGGAGTTCTTGAAAGGACCGCTCAGGCATCCGTGGACTCTGGCTGTGCCTTGGGCCCAGCCGAACAGCGGAGGATGCAACCACTTTCCGCCTGCAGTGTTGCCACATCCAGTGTTGCCAAGACTGGTGAAGCACTGCATGCGCAAAGTTCAACGGGGTCAGCAGGGATGCAGCAGGAAGCCTCTCGAATGACCAAGCCGTCAATGGAGGTCAGGAACCAGGGCACCACCAGGCCTCAGCACAGAAAGAGGAATGGGAAGACACGGTGCCGACTCCGGAGCGAGCTATTGAAGCCCCACAAAGGCCACGGCCATCTGCTTCTGCATCGAAGCCGGGGGGAACCTCCATGCAAGCATGAAGTTGCTTGCGGGCTGCTTTCCTCACACATCCTCCAGTCGCATGTCCAACGTTTCCACAACCCAGTGTCCTTCTCGTCCACAGGAAGCCGAGACACGAACAGAAGAAAAGGCCTCGAAGTACTCCTCTTTGACGGGAAGCCCACCGATTGTCGGCGAACTGTGGAAGATGTCCTCGGCCTGTCGCACGGCAAAATCTTCTGCTCGCAACCAGAAGCAGCTGCCCGGCCTGAATTTCAAAGGTGCATGGGCTCGCATTCCTGCAAGTCAAACCCTGCGAAATCGTCTGCCCACAGTTCCTGTTGAGTGTTGATGCGCGCTGCATTGCATTTCTGCCTCAAGCGCACGACTTCGCAGACCACCTTGGCCAGCACATGACTTGCGATGATGAAATCAATTGGAGCCGATCTTTGGCAAGAGCAGAAGCGATTCTTCGAAGCACCCTGGGCGCAAGGCCATCTTGTGGGCGGCCGCTTCAATGCTTCATGGTGGCCGCCGCTTGCAAGGTCCAGACGGACGAAGCTCTGTGCATCCACATGAATCGTAAATGTCTAGGGACTTGCTTTGCAAACGCGGGGCGGTGCAGCTTCAGAACGTATGATGCTTGCCGGGCATGCTGCCAAACGGAGGAAGAAACTCCCTCATGCAAACTTGAAACCGGTCTTGAGTCTCCGCACTGTGGCATGAAGTCGAACAGAGCTCCAGATCTTACGCATCCCGTCAACGAGATGCAACCAGAGATCAGCCTTCAATCTCGAGCGTTTGCTGCTTGCCGAAACCGCGAAGTTGTGCGGAGAGGGAGGGCCGACATTGACAGGAGATGCAGCGGGCTTCTCTTTTTGTTTGCCGCAGGGTCGGGTGACAGCCGGGCGAAGGGATCGCCGGGAGGTCCACATGGGCTCGCGGCTCGCACGCGGGCTGCGGGTCGACGCGCATCTTGAACGGTTATGGCACCATCATGCAGTTTCGCGGGTGCTTTGCATGGCCTGAAATCTTCGGTTGGAGAGCCTTGAGGCTTAGGAATTGGGCTTAGCCTCTTGGCCAGCCCTCGAACATGCACTTGTGGCACGATGTCATGAGCTCACAGCCGGATCTGTCAGCAAGCGAAGGCATAGCCTGAGATCTGCATCCAAAGTGTCATGAAATTCCGGAACTACAAGCATGAAGGCTTCATTGCAGACAGGGCGCATGGTCCCTTCTTGCCCAAGCTTCTCGGCGGACCCCTGGCCAAGTTTAAGTCTAAACGCCTCCAGCAGATGCACGGCTCTTTGGAGCGCCTTAGCCGTAGGAGCTGCGCTGCCCCACCGAGGCGTGGATCGAAGACGGGCCGCTTGAACTCGCTAACCTGCGCAGCAAAGCCCAGACCAGGCCCAGTCTTCAAAAGGAACCGCAAGAGCAGAGCAAAACCCCACAAAAGGGCTCCACACCTGCAACACCCCTTTACTGACAATGAAATCCCCACCACAGATCGCGGGCTGCGGCTTGAGAGCCCATCCACCAGTCGCTCCACGCTGGGAATCTCGAATGATGCGAGCTCTAAGCACACCATCCTCAGCTTCGCAAAGCACAGTACTGTCTTCAGTTTCTTCAAACCTTCGGGTTTTGCCTTTCTCAAATTTTTCAGAGGCGGACAGTTGCATAGTCGTGCCGCCAGGACTCCACCACGGTGCGTTCTGAAGCTTCAAGCACAGTGCCCGGATTCCTGAGACGTGCAACTGGCCTTGTAGCTGCCGCAGCATGGATCCAATCGGGCTCAAACAGTTTCGGGTCAACCAAGGCTCAAAAAGCAGAGCACTGCCGATGTCGGCGATGGCTGCACGGAGACAGGCGCCTTGCTCAGCACCCCGTAGAAGAAGGAGCCTCATTGCTGTTATGCGAGCTCTCTGCCGTCCGAAGCGTCTCAGATTCTACCTCAAGGATCCCTTGAATGATTTACTGGTTTGTGCATCCCCTTCGTAATTTGACGCCATAGAGGGCAGTTAGAGGATGCTCATTTCTGCAAATTGCCCACGAGCAGTTCTTGTACCCGCCCGCCCAGCTGCTGAGGTCAAGGCCCTGTTGATCCATGCAAGGCCTCACAGACACGGCTGACTTTCGTGCTGAGGTCTGGAAACAGGACCCTCGGATCAGCCTCACGGCTTCCTCCGGCAGGACCAGGCCGCCTTCAGCACTTCCATTTTCAGGTCGGCATGCGACGAAAACGACATGAAGCGAGAAGCCTGAAGATTCATGGAGCCGCAGCCATTGCCCGCCTTCCTGGCAAGAACAGACCGTCGCACTACTTCATGGGCTATCGCAAATCATTGCAGCATGCCTGGGCGCGATCCCAGGGATTTTTTCACTATTCTGCCAGCATTGGCAGAGTCCTCCTTTCACATCCTGCGGATAAGCGGATGGACGAGGTCGATCGGGTCCTGGTCGTGGTCGTGGTCGTGCTTGCAGCCGTCTACGGCAACCCGCGAGCCGTTGAGCACGTCAGAACAAAAGCAACGCCATCACGTTTTCAAGCGCGCCCATGCTGCAAGCAAATAGGCCTCAAAGGTCTCCTCAGTCTCCTCTCACTGTGTGGCCCTTGCACGCACAGCTCGCAGCCGCACTATGCAGGGTCTAACCACCATGCCCCGACACCCGCATTAGCCCATTTGCAGTGGAAGGAAGCCGTTCGAGAGAGCTTCACTGACGAGGAAGAGCACTTCCGTCAAGCTGGGGTAGAAATCCCGCGTCGCTCACTTGCCGTGCCGTGGAAAAATGCCTGGTCAGGCGGCCTCAAGGCGTGTGCACTGCCCCTTGCACACCGGACCGACGGTGCGATCCAGCATGGCCAACTGCTCTGCTGGGTTGAATATTAAAGCTCTGCAGTTCCCACCGCATGCTGCAGCACAAACTAGGACGAACCAACACAAACAAGCAATTCAACACAGAAGTGGTCCGGCAGAGAAGGCACAGCCAGGGCGGAACAAATCGACCTAGCAGTAAGGATTTGAAGCCATGCTGCGGATCGCAAACATACATATACTCCTGTATTGTTGATACGTGGATTTCATGTCCACGGCCAGAGAAAACCGGCCTTCACACCACGTTGACCACCGGTAGCTGAGGCACCTTACCCATAATGGCAGCTGCCACCCACCAGGTGCCCAGAATTCGTTCGAAGGGCCGCTTCAACCTGGCTCCGGGCTTCAGAGGATGTTGAAAGCGTATCTTCCAATGGCCTTCAAGCTGTTTCCCCACGACCTCTCCGGTATCACCTGCATACTGGCCTTGAGTCAGCTGTACCTCCGCATCTTCAGAAAGATCAAGTCGGCAGAGTTGGTCCGGCCGGAGGGATTCATGATTCTCTAGCCGAGCTCCAGTACGGCTGTAGGGTACCAGATAGATGTCGTTCTCTTTATCCACTGTCCGTTCTTCCAGCAGCTTCAGATTCTCAACGAAGGCCTCAACAGGGTATGTGGCCCGGGAAGTCTCTCCAGATGGTCCGGAAGCCGAAGCAAGGCCACTAAGCTCGAACTCCTGGACGATGAGCTCTGCCAAAGAGTCGAGCTTCGCCCAGAAACGTATGGATGCCATGTGATCGTACCTGGAGATGAAACGGACACCCAACATGAATCTCCAAAAGCTTGGAGTCATGAGCCAAGCCACTGCGTTCGCTGCAGGCTGCAGATAGCCAGGCCACCTCCTGCGGATGAGCCATCGGCCACACCTGAGCGAAGCCAAAACATGTGGGCTGCATGCTTATTCCGTTGTACGCCCGCACACCCGCACCACGCCACACTGCACAACGGCACAAAAGTGGCGGAACACACAACCGATCGAGAAAAAAAGTTACCAATTCGACCACTCGACTCTTCTGATGCCGCTCTGCAGCACCCTGGGCCAGCCGGTCTGCATTCATCCCCGCTAAGGATGTACCGAAAGCCAAGACTGTGTCGGCTCTGGTCTGCAACTCCAACCTGAGCAACGAGCGGCAGGAAGAGGGAAACTCCTTGCACTGTCAGTCCCTGGCTGCAGGCTCGCACTGCAGGCAGCAGACGGTGCTCGTGCACTGTCTGGCCATATAGCCCAGCAACAAGTCTTGGAACAGGTCTCCGCGGAGCTCACCGGTCATTGGGATGACAGGATTGCTTGGATCATACCTTCCAGCAGAACAGGAAAAGAGCGATGGGTCGACAGACACCTGCGTCTCAGCCCACTTGCTTTGCAAGTTGGTCCCGGACAGTCGCCAGCCAATCCCCGAGAGCATCCATGTGTTACCGACCTCTGAAAGCCTAGCAGCCCTGGTAGGCCCTAGGCCCTAGCATCCTCAAGTGCCGGGATGCCAGGAACCATGGATCTCGTTTAAGAGCCACTGCGGGAAGCCGGCTTTCTGCGGCAAGCCATCATGGTTCTGCTGGACCCAGCAGCTCAGTAGCTCATGCCTCCTTCGCCAAAAGCGAATTCTCACATCTACTGCATCTACCGCAAGCACCAAAGCCGGAAGCTATTGACGCCATGGACCAAGAAGAGTGTGGGATTGTCGGGTCTCCAGAGCGCAACGAGAACTCGGTGCATCATGGTCGGCTGCGCCTCGCAGGGACAGACATCAACACGATTTGCAATGAAAGGACTCCACCAAACGGAGGACACAACAACCCAGACAAGTCGCTTCGTAGGGCGACCGCAGCTTCGGCGGGGCGCCCTCCATGCTGCTGCCCATCGTCACCTTCGCAATGAGCCATCCGGATGTCCGAATTCACGCTCCACCCAAGACCGTCAAGTTTTCCATACAATGCTCATCAACATGACCTTTGGGACTTGAGGCCTCGACGGTTCCAGGCGTTCGGACGGCTACGTCGGAGTCTTCGGCAGTGGCATAGTCCAAAACCCCCGCTGCCGTGGAGATGCCGGCACCTTTGCGCTGATGCTACTAAGTTGCTAAACGCAATACTGGGTTTGTTGAATTTCTTGCCCCATTCGTCGAGGCACCAGTGTAGGCCACAACGGCACTGGAAGTCTTCAGGAGTCGCAGCAGCACCCGCACTTTGGCACGTAAAGTTTCCACATCATCCTCGAACTCGTCCTGTTTGGAGGAATGATGCCATGCAATCTGCAACAAATCGTATGGTGTGCAGCTCCAGCAGTCTCAGTTACGCATTAACTTTTCCATTACCATCTGCTGAGGAAATGCCTCCCAAAGATGTCAGTGCCATGCCAATTCGTGCTTTGCCTTCGACATGGATGCGTAGCCCGGTCGCGCCAACTCCGTAGACGCATGGATTCTTCTTGGTGGCTTCAGGCCTGCACACCATGTCAACATTCGACATCTCAGTTGGTCCCTTACAGCATGCCATGCTGCCTGACACTGGTCAGGATTTCTTGGACGCAAAGACTCGGAGCCGCTTCACGAAAGCATTGCGGCGACAGGGCCCTAGCTGCAAACTCGCTTCCTGCCGCTGCCAACTCCGGAAGATACCCATGGCTAG